ATACCCACAAACCCTAATCCCTTCTCCTTGCTCCTCTGCTTCGTTTCTCCTTCTCCGCTCCAAAAACCCTAATCCCAACGAAGATTCTGGTAACGAATCGTCTCCACGTGTCTTCTTTATCGTCGCTGGACCGTATCGTGGTGGGTCACGTCTTCTTCTCAGATTCTATGCTTTACGGGAAGGGAAAGACAAAGGCTTTACGAGAGCTAAAGTGATTTGCGATCAAAAGGGTATTGAATTCGATTCTAAAGTTGGGGTTTTGTTGGACTTGAGTCATGGAGTTTCGGTTAAAATCGTTGGATCGACCAATTACTTTGCAATGTACTCTGTTTCGAGCTCGAAGCTACTGATATTTGGTGTTAAGAGTGTGAGTGATGGAAGCAATTGTGGAGATGATGATGACTCTATAGTTGTGAAGCTGATCAGGTGTAGTGTGATTGAATGTTGTAAACCGGTTTGGTCGATTGGAATTTTCTCGGGTTTGTTGATTTTAGGAGAAGATGATGGAGTTAGGGTTATAAATTTGAGGGAGATAGTGAAAGGGAAACTGAAGAAAGGGAAGAAAGAAGTTGGGAAGAAGAAGGATAATCCTGTTCTTGGTAAGTCTAGTGCTTTACATATTATGTGAATTTTGAGTTGTATCTATATAATGTCCATAGAGAGGAATTGCAGATTTAGGGATTTGGTACAATGTGCTTAAGATAGAGTAAACAGAGAAAATTTGTGTGGTTCTTGGTAGATTTGGGAGAGTTACCTCTTTGCTTCTTGATAATGCCTTTTCTGTTGCGGTTGTAGTAGCGTTCATACTCCTGATTTCGACTGTTAAACTTTGCAGTGAACAAAGGGTTGTTAAGTAAACAGAGACAAGAATCTTCTGAAACAAGAATGTGCTTTGTCTCGTTTCAGAAAACTTCTGCTACCGTTGATGCTGATCTGAAATCAGAAGCATGTCTGGTTAGGGCGGTATCGATCCAAGCTTTGTCCATTAAAAGGTTCTTGATCTTGGACTCTGCCGGATATATACATGTGTTGCATGTCTCTGGTCGTCATCCTCTCGGATCAAACTTTGCTTGTCATATGCAGCAGTTGCCTCGCTTTATGGATGTCCAGAAATTTGCCCTTCTTCCTGAAATCTCTATTGGTAAAAAATACTCTCGGAGTCTACGGGTTAAAGGGCTATTTGTTTTTGTTTTTGATACCGAAATTTCCTTATTTTTAACACAATTTAGGGTCTTTTGGTCACTGTAGGAACGAAAAGCGTTTGGATTTCAGACGGAGATTATTCTGTGCATAGGGTGACGATTTCCGATGATGAAACTACTATTAGAGAGAAAGACGATGATAATATGACAAGGGACGAAACCCTTATACAAGCTTTGGATTTTGGTGCAGTAACGCATACAGTTTTCTCGCCAGAAAAGATTCAGGATCTTGTTCCTCTTGGTGGAAACGGTGTTCTTATTCTCGGGATAAGTAAGTTGTTTGATTTCATTCCATCAGAAATATCCTTCACAGAAAGCATAACATCTAAACTCGAAACATTCTACTCATTTGGCAGGAAGTTTATACGCATATGCGATCTCCTGAAAGAAGCAAATATATGATTTGGTTTCTTACAAGCAATGAGATCTACTTGATACCAAGTTTGATAAACATATGTTTGAAGCAAATTCTAAATCAGGTAAGTGGGTTTGTTTAGTTTTCATGCAAGTGTATCAGCTTTGAGCTTATCTAGAGGCTGTAATTAGTGTCAATATTCGTTGTTTTACAGTTGGATTGGTGATTAAATGGTAAAGTGTTCTCTAGACGATGATGAAGCTTCGTGAGTTGACATTGTGATGATGTTCACAATATAACTCTTGAAGTTGTGGATTTGGGGAAGTCTTACATAGACCCTGGAGGTAAATAAACCTTCCACTCTTCTCTTTTTATTAGCTCTTGATGTATTGAACCTGGTTTGGTCTAAAGTATAGAGTTTTCGCTTCTTATTTTTCGTTTGAATTGATTTCCATAGACATTCAAAAGTCAACGTTAGTTGCATTTTACTACACTTTATATGGATCAGAAGAAATGATTACAAACTGTTATTCCCTCTGTTTTTTTTTTTTTTCTGCGGACAAATCTCAATCATTCCATGAGAGGAGGTTCTGTGTGTTCTGGACTCAAACCAGACCATTGATTCAGCCACTTTCTGCATTTGCCTTTGTGTTCTATGTTCGAACCAGAGAGTTCTTGGACTTGCAAGATCTGTTTAAATTTTAACTTCTTTTCTTTTTGGTATTCTTGCTCCTTTAATCTGTTTAAATTCCAGAGAGTTCTTAGCATTTTCATGTTTATGAATCATATCATTTCTGATTAGGATATGAATATATTTTCTGTGTATCATATAGATTTGTGGAAAAAATCGCACAATCTCGAAATTAAGAAGAAAAAAAAAATCAATGTCTCTATTACATTGTACCAAGTGATGCCTACATTTGCATGCACTCTTTGGTCCAGTGTAATCATGAGCTTTTTTAATTTGTGGGTTCCGCTTAAATTGACTTCAACCCGGTTCGATCTCAAGATTCAATGCCGAAAACCGGGTTTTTTTTAATAATATTACTAGTTTACTACGCTATGAAAACCGGTCCAATGTTACTAGGAGACATGAATTTATTTATTACAAATGATCAAATTAACCCGATCCGTTTAAACTTATATCATGTTTCTAGTTATAGAATTTTTACGGTAACCAGATAATTCCAGATTTTGGACCTATAGATTTTTAAGGTCCAGAGGACGAACCGTTTCGAGACTTCGGAAAATTTCAAACAATTTAAGATCTAAAGGAATCAAACGTAGGTCACATT